ATGCGATACAGAGTCCAAAACTAGAGGGTACAGGTTTGAGATGAAGGGGGAAAGACTTCAAAGGGAACTAAGGGGCAACATTTTCATGCAGAGGGTGGTGCATGCATGGAATCAGCTACGAGGGAAAGTGGAGGAGGCTGGTACAATGAAAAAAATTTAAGCAGCATTTGGACGGATATATGAACCGGAAGGATTTAGAGGTCTATGGGCTAACCGGACCCTTCAGTTCAACTTATGGAATGGAAATGCTGGTAAATGGAACTAGATTAATTTAGGATATCCGTTTGGCATGGATAAGTTGAACTGAAGGATCCATTTCCGTGCTGTACAACAATGACTATATATTTCCAAGTCAGGATGGCGAGTGGATGCAGTGCCAATCAAGTGCACTGTTTTATCCTGGTTGGTATCATCCAACTAGAGGAGATCTTTTCCCCCGATACCGACAGATTCTAGCTTTACTAGAGCTACTTGATGCCACACTCGTCCAATGCAGCTTTGGCATCAAAGGGCAACCACTCTCACCTCAGGAATTCAGTGCTTTTGCCCATGTTTGGACCAAGGCTAAATGAGTTCAGGAGCTGGCAGAACCCAAACTGAGCATCACTGAGCAGGGTATTGCTGACTAAGTGCAGCCTAATAGCACTGTTGGTGACACCTTCCATCACTTTGCTGACAATCGAGAGTAGATTGATGGGACGGCAATTGGCCAGGTTGGATTTGTCCTGCTTTTCATATACAGGACATACTTGGGCAATTTTCCACATTGTCAGGTAGATGCCAGAGTTGTAACTGATTTAGAACAGCTTGGCTAGGGGTGCAGCAAGTTCTGGTGAAGAAGTCTTCAGTACTATCACTGGAATGTTGTCAGGGCCCGTAGCCTTTGCAGTATCCAATTCCACTAACCATTTTTTGATATCATGTGGAGTGAATCGAATTGGTTGAAGACTGGTATCTGTAATGCTGGGCACAGAGGAGGCCAAGATGGATCATCCACTTGGCACTTCTGGCTGAAGATTGCTGCAAATGCTTCAGCCTCATCTTTTGCACTGATGTGCTGGGCACTTCCATCATTAAGGATAGGGATATTTGTGGAGCTGCCTCCTCCAATGAGTTGTTTCGTTATCCACCAACATTCATGACTGGTTGTGGCAGGACTGCAAAGTTTAGAAATGATTTATTGGTTGTGGGATTGCTTAACTCTGTCTATTACTTGCTGTTTATGCTGTTTGGAATGTCCTATTTGGTAGCTTCACCAGGTTGACACCTCATTTTCAGCTATGCCTAGTGCTACCCCTGGTTGAGTGGGGGAACGTGTCAGGCCATGAGGTTGCAGATTCTGGAGTACAATTTTGCTGCTGTTGATGGCCCACAACACCTCACAGATGCCCAGCTGAGTTGCCAGACTTGTTTGAAGTCTGTTCCATTTAGCATGGTGATGTGCCACAGAACAAATGGAGGTCATCCTCAATGTGAAGGCAGGACTTCATCTCCACCAGAACTGTGCAGTGATCATTCTTACTGATACTATGAAGTCAGAAGCCACACAACACCAGGTTTACTTGAAATCACAAGCTTTCGGAGCATAGCCCCTTCGTCAGGTGAAGTGCTACGCTCTGAAAGCTTGTGATTTCAAATAAACCTGTCGGACTATAACCTGGTGTCATGTGACTTCTGACTTTGTCCATCCCAGTCCAACACCAGTACCTCACATCATGATACTATGATGACCAGATGCATATGGAGACAGCAGATTGTTAAGGATGAGCTCAAGTATGTTTTCGTCTCTTGTTAGTTCCTTCACAACCTCCTGCAGACCCAGACTGGCAGCTATATCCTTTAGAATCCAACCAGCTTTATCAGCAGTACTGCTGCTGAGCCACTCTTGGTGGTGGACATGGAAAACCCCCACCCGGCATACATTTTGTGCCCTTGTCATCCTCGTATTGTACCAATTCGCCAGCAAAGGGAGTACGATATGAGGTAATCAACAGGTTTCCTTGTCCATGTGTAACCCAAATCTATGAGACTTCAGGAGATCTAGAGATAATCTTTAGAACTCCAATGGCAACTCCCTCCCAACTGTATACCGCTGTGCCTGTCCTACCAGTGGCACAGGACATATCCAGGGATGGTGATGGTGGTGTAAAGTACGATTCCGTGAGTATGACCATGTCAGGCTGTTGCTTGACTGGCCTGTGAGTCAGCTCTCCCAGTTTTGGTACTTGCTTCCAGATGTTGGTAAGGAGGACTTTGCAGGGTCAACAAGTCTGTTTCTGCCATTGTCTTTTTCTGTGCCTAGGTCGATGCAGGTGATCTATCCATTTCTGTTTTATTTTGAGACTTTGTAGCGACTGATACAATTGAATGGCTTGCTAGGCCATTTCAGAGGGCAACTGAGAGTTAACCACACAATAATCTTTGCATTTTTGTTTCGGTAATAAACTAGTCATTTACTGTTGACTAAAGAAACCTAGCTGGCGTGTTCTTAATACTAAAGGTTAAACAGTCTGGGACCTATATAATTGGCTAAATTTAACCAGATTGATGATATAAAGTTTGTTGTGACCATTAGAGGAGTGGGATTAGAAAAGAAAACAGTGCATCCCTTTTACCTCAGTCATAACAACATGAAGCAAAACTAGAGGCAGATGGTTGGGTTGCTTAGTCAAGCTGTTGCATTAACAATGTGTCCAAATTTGACTCCATCATCAATACAAAAGATAGAAGGGAAATGGACTGTTTAGATCTAACAAACTACCCAAGGGGCAGGGAAGGAGGACTATGTTGGTGAATTCAAAAAGGAACAGAATAGTGTCTTGGCAAAGCAGCTAACAAAAATGGGATATGGAGTGGTATACACAACTTATTAAATTCCAAGAGTGGTCTGATATACTATAATGTTATCTAGTCCACTATATTAAGAAAATGTAGTTAAAATGATAAATATTTTATTAATACAATTTTTCAAAGTTTAAAATTACTGGAGCATAGCAGTGTTAAATATTTATTTTATGCAATGAGTAATGTATATATTGTACAGAACAAGAATGTCATTAGATATTAAAAAAAGTAGTCATTAATTATATATAAAAAAAAACACTGCCTGGATGTGATGCCAGGCAATCTCAGGAGGGCTCAGATGGCGAATTAATTGCAGTGGTGTCTGGTTGCCATAGACTGATGTATGTAAAACAATATCATAGAATCATACAGATATACAGCACAGGAACAAACCCTTCAGTCCAACTTGTCTATGCTGACCATATATCCTATACAAATCTAGTCCCATTTGGCCCATATCCCTTGAAACCCTTGCTATTCACATACCCATCCAGCTGCCTTTTAAGTGTTGTATTAGGACCAGCCTCCACCACTTCCTCTGGCAGCTCATTTCATACACGCACCACCTTCTGCGTGAAAAAGTTGCCCCTTGGGTCCTCCTTCTATCTTTCCCCTCTCACCTCAAACCTACGCCCTCTAGTTTTGGACCACCCCACCCAAGGGAAAAGACCTTGGCTACTGACCCTATCCAAGCCCTTCATGATTTTATTAAATTCTATAAAGGTCACCCCTCAGCCTCCAACCCTCCAGGGAAAATACCCACAACCTATTCAGCCTCTCCCTATACCTCAAACCCTCCAACCTTGGCAATATCTTTGTAAATCTTTTCCGAACCCTTTCTAGTTTCACAACATTCCTCCTAAGGAGGGAGGCCAGAATTGCATGCAGCATTCCAAAAGTGGCCAAACAAATGTCCTGTGCAGCCACGACATGACCTCCCAACTCCTATACTTAATGTACTGACCAATAAACTGTAAGCATACCAAACCCCTCCTCCACTATTCTATCTACCTGCGACAGCACTTTCAAGGAACTGTGAACCTGCACACTCCCCAGGACCTCACCATTAAGTGTACAAGTCCTGCCCTGATTTGCCTTTCCAAAATACAGCACCTTACATTTATCTAAATTAAACTCCATCTGCCACTCCTCGGCCCATTGGTCCCTCTGATCAAGCTCCGTTGTACTCTGAGGTAACCTTCTTTGCTGTCTACTACCTGTCCAATTTTAGTATCATCTGAAAACTTACTAACCATACCTCCTGTGTTCACATCCAAGTCATTTATATAAATGACAAAAAAAACAGTGGACCCAGCACCTATCCTTGTGGCACACTGCTGGTTGCAGGCTTCCAATCTGAAAATGTCTTTAAGTGAACTATTTAAATCAAGACGAAAGGTGACAACATCAAAAAGACATTTTGTCCGAACTCAAATCTGATTTCTGAATTTTTGAAGTTGACACCCTGCACCTTGCCACTTTTCCCAAAATAGTTTTGGCTAAAATGGGCTGTTTAAGTCATTAAGTTGGCCAATAAAATTATTTATCAAGTTAATTGAATAGTAAGGTATTAAACTGCAGTGATTCAAGACAGCATTTAGCTTGATCTAGGATGTACTTTGTGTTAACTCTGAGGGGGAAATCCTCAGGATTTAGGGCTTATAATCGGTAACCCTGATGGAAGTCTGGTTATGAGAGACAGGTAAGAACAAGATCATTCTGGATACTCATAACCCTTCAGATGATTGGCATTCTCTTTCAAGGCTCATGGATTGGCTACTTGACCAATGTACCATAAGACTATTGCTACACATGTAACTATGACCCAATGTGACCCACCATCCTCACAAGATAAAGGTAGGGGAATGAATCAGGGAAAATCAATATTTAAAAAAATAAATTGCTAATTGAAGTCTTCCAAACTTAGAATTTATAGGTTATATCAATGACATTTCCAATTATTTGCTTCCATGAGTGAGGTTAATTTGTACTTTCATTAAATGTTGAAGATTTTAAATTAACTAATTGTAATGCACCTTCTCCGTGCAAAACTAAAAAGATGAAAAAGTCCAGTGAATGTGTTTATAATTATGTAGTTAATAACAAAGCTATAAAGAGCAGAGCTATTACAGGAGCAACGCTCTATTGCAACTTACCCAGAAGACATCATAAATGAGGAGTCCAGAAAGCAGCAAGCAGGAAACTTTAAGACTTGGCAACCGTACAAAAGCGATCATGGCTACACAGAGGCCCATTGCCAGAGCTATAATAGAACACAAGCAATATATTGGCAAACTGCAAAATGGGAACAGAAGTTTCTGATTTATAATGCTAAGCATAGAATTCAATACACTGAAACATTATTGATGTAATGCACAAACGATTGAAACCAGTTTTATTATGTTCAGCAATTTCCACAGTTGATTGATTTATTGGAAAGACAGGTACTATTTGGAACAGTTTGAGGCCAGTTGCTTTTGCTTTAAAAGGAGGATGTGTAATTTTCATATAGAGCCAGCAGAGCTATTGACGTCTGTTTCAACTGTGCCAGTGACTATCTAGTTGTAGCTGGAATTGTCAATCATCGCAAGCAGCTTTCATTGTCTAAGTGTTATTTCACCATTTTTTGATTATAAAGCTGGAGAAATAACTATTGGCCAGGATAGCATTTAGAAGAGTACCATTCATTGAACATGCGGTTTGATATTCCAAACAATACCTCCAATGATGTAGCACTCACTCAGTCCTGCCTTAATGTCAGCCTAGATTACATACTCAAATCATAGAGAAGACCTTGCTCAAAGGTCTCGGGCTCTTTTATAACCAAAAACTATAATGTTTCTTCCTTACCCTGATCAAGATGAAAACAAACGATGAATAACACTGAAACAGACATACATTATCCATTAAAAGCAACATGGACAAACATTAGGAGAAATGAACCGTGCATACATAGAATGAAGAAAGGAGTGTTCAAGAAATCTTAGAAATGAAGCTAGGCATGACAACATGTAAGTGATGAGCATGAAGGTGATCAAAAAAGCATGAACACTAGGAATGTCACCAAGTAAGTGGAACCCTGAATAAGCAGTGATGATGGAGTATACCATGGTTTCAAAATAGACCAATCAAAACACACTTCATCCTAGGGTCTAAAATAATAGATGGTATTTTGCTTCTCATTGTCCAGAGTTCCCTTTATTTGGAAAAGATCTCTTTAGATTGGAAGGTAGAAAATGCAACTCCTTCATTCAAACAGGGAGACAGAGAGCAGGAAACTACAGACCATTTAGCTTAACATCCAGCACAGAGAAAACGTTAAATGTCATTAACAACAATGTTGTAGCATGGCACATAGAAACATTCAAGGTTAAGCAGGCACTGTCAAGCTGCTTTTTTGAAAGGGAAATCATGTTTATTAATTTATTAGAGTTTTTAAAAATTAATATGCGCTATGGATAAAGGATCTGGCAGATAAACAAATTTTGGATTTCTAGAAGGCATCCGATAAAGTGCCGCATTTAAAGTTATTTCAGAAAATAAAGGTTTAAGGTTTGGGGAGGCAACATATTGAAAGGGATAGAAGATTTGCTCAGTAATAGGAGACAGAAAGTAGGCATAAATGGGTCCACTTTCTGGTTGGCAAGGTGGGAATGAATGATGTGCCACAGGGATTAGTGCTAGAATTTTATATAATGACTTGGATGTAGAGATCTAAGGTATGGTTCTAAATTTGCCGATGACCCAGACAAGTGGGAGAATTGTTATAAGTTGTGAGGAGGGAAGGAAGCGGTTACAACGGGATATAGAAAGGCTAGGTGAGTGAGCAAAGATTTGGCAAATAGAACATAAAATGGAAAAATGCGAAATTATCCATTTTGGCAGGAAGAATTAAAAAACACTATCTAAATGGTGAAAGAAACTGCAGATCTCTGAGATGCAGAGGGATCTGGTTATACTCATGCATGAAACACAACAGGTTAGAACACAGGTAATTAGGAGAGCAGGAAGAATGCCACTGTTCATTGTGAGGGATTTTATTTGAAAAACAGGAAGGTTATGCTCCCGTATCAGTGAGACCACATCTGGAGTACTGCATACAGTACTGATCTCCACATTTAACGGAGAATGGAAATCCACTGGAAGCAGTGCAGAGAAGGTTTTTAAGATTAATATCTGAAATGAATTGCCAGCCGAGGGAAGAAAGGACAAGGTGGGCTTGTATCCACTGGAGTTGAGAGGTATTAAGAGCCAACTTGATTGAATCATACAAGATCCCAAAGGGTTCGACAAGGTGAATGTAGGATGTTTCCTTTTCCATAGGTGAAGCAAAAGTAAAACCCATCTTAAAAGTCAAAAGCTTACTAAGATTTTGTCCTAGTGACCGAGTAAGAACCATATTGCATATGTGACTGGGTGGAGACTGGCTAATTCTGCGCAAATACAGAAAATCAAATCCAAAACTCCTTTCTTACAATTAGACTGGGACTATTGCCCTAACTTTAGTTTTAATCACTTCCCTTTTAGCCAGCTAGTGTTAAGTAGAACATTTGGCCTAGAAAAATGCACTGTCTTGTACCCACCTCTTGAATAGTGGAAGAGACAGGAGGGGCCAAGTGATCTACTTCACCTCCTTACTTGTATACTCAAATATATTTAAGAGTTTCTTCTATAACTCTGGTCAGTTCACATTAGTGGAAAAGATCCAAAGAGCAAAGCAACCATTTCAAGTACTTTGAGGAAAGGTTTACAGTATATAAATAGCTTTAGGGGGTGCAGAATGAGGTCTATTAAGAAAAAAACTGATAGACTGATACTTGATGAAGCTAAGATATAACTTCAGGACAACTAAAGGTCATTTAGGTGTATAAATTTAAATTACTGGTTTGTATATTGAGCTAAATATTTCCCAGTTCAACAGGTTCTCTTACACCAAGTTTTTAAAAGAAAGGAATAGGCTAATTAATATGACCAACTAACTCAACTGTCAGAAAGATACACATTTATTGTAGAATTTCTGGACTAAGACCTCATGGATGGAAAGCTGCAGATGTTGATAAAATAGCATTTTCACATAACTTTAACAAATAGATGTGGTAAATGACAAGGATGGTAGCAATAGATTTGAGGACGACACAGGCAGACTGGTGAAATTGCAACAGCATGCTGTTAAGTATGAAGTGATGCATTTTGCAAAGAGGAACGTGGGGGAAGTATGAGATAAGTGGTAAATTTTAATGGCAGTGCCAGAACAGAGATCCAAGGGAATATACACAAATTTCTGAAAGTTGCACGAGAAAGAGATAGAGATAAAGTCCTATAAATGGAGATATGGAGTACAAAGGCAGAGGTACTAAACTTTTAAAAAACACCAACTACATCTCATGTGGAGTATGCTGGGCAACATACGTTCAGAGGGGAGCCCAGGCCTTTAAAATGGTCCACAGGAGATTTATTAGAATGATAATTGAAGTAATTCATGTCTTCTATGTGGGAAGAGAAAATAAACTGGGACTGTTTCCTGCAGAACAGAGAAAGGAGGATGATATAAGATATAAGATATATAAAATGAGAAATTATCTCCAAAGGAAGAACAGTTGACAAGTAGAAGGTATAGAATCAGGGGGCAATTAAAAGGGAGGCTCTCTCTAAAAATGAGTTATGATCTGAAATGCACCATCTGAAATGGTAGAAAGGAATTCAATACTGACTTTCTAAAACAATTTGAATAAGGGAGAGAGACAACTTGGATAGATCTTTCAACCATTTCAATAGCTCTTTCATAGCATCGCCAGACATACCGGGCCTGAATGCTATATGATTCTAAAGACCTAAAATCTAGACATGGTCATTTCCTACCAGAAGAATTTTACTCTAAAATCGTTTTATAAATTTGTAAACATTTTATAACTTTCAAGTTGGTGAAATGTGGATAATAATTAATTATAATGCTACGCATACTCATGGAAAAAAAAATCTATGCCACATGTAAGACAAGCAACAGTAATCAGTTTTTAAAATGAAATCATGTTAATTCAAAATGTTCCAAACACTTCATCAAGATAATGCAAAGAATTCTTTCCTCATATTCCCTCAAGTAATTAAAAAATCTCATTTCATAACTCAAAGCAGAAAGGTAATTAAGACCACAACAGCCAGCTGGTTAGCCATTAGAGTTGTAACTTCCCAAAGAACTGCTAGTCCTGTCAATCAGTAAAGTATCACCCATCAAACAGCATTTTTCTGCAGTCCTTTCTTCCTCTCCCTGAAGCACAAACTCATGTGGATGATGCCAGTGGCATCACAGTACCTTGCCCAAGTGACTATTTTTACTGGTTGAACCTAGGAAACACTATTTAACAAGGAGAACAATGTATCAACATGATCCATTGAAGTATACTTTCCAGAACCTATCAATGAATACTGTTGGGTAGAATTTGGGCTAATTTCTCACCTTAGCCCTAATTCACTAAGGCCAACGGTAGAAACCCAAGTGAGATAAAAGTAGCTCAGCGTAGTAAAGTGTCTTTCTGGACCCAGTGGCGACAAGGAAATTATCAACAACTGAAAAATCATAACAACTACATTTCAAAGTAGGGCAAGGCTATGTTGAACCTAACTTCCACCAGGTGAATGTAGCCCTAATTTTTTGAGAGTTATTTGATTGTATATTTTAGTTTCCACTTTTAATAAAAAGCATGTTCTTTAAATCTGTTCTTTTTATTCAACCTCCTGTAGACCTGTTCCTCCTATCTTCTAATCTGTTAGGCATCCATGATTTAGTTTCTTTCCTCTCAAGTACCTGGCCCACCACAATGCTATTAAAGGTATTAATTGCTACCTCCAAACAAGCAGCATCATCAGCTTCCTGTCTCACTGACCTTAGCTTCAAACGCGTCTAGAGGCTACCCATGTAGCCTATCCACAACGAATCAATTACTACAAGTCTACGTTTTTCTCCAAAGTATTTCCTTCAAAATAAAGATCTGGTTGTTCAGACTTTGACTAAAACTTGGCCCACTGGTAACAACAACTTGCTCCTCATTAAAGTTGCCTTTTCTATCGTTCTCTCACACCTTCTCCTAGTACATCTTGCTACAGACCCGTCACGTCTACATTAAGACTCCTGCTGCCCATGGGCCCTTCAGCTGTGACCCTGAGATCAGCTTTCAAGACCATAATTTCTCCACCATCATAATTGCTTGCTTTTAGCTCATTCCCTGGCAAAACCCTCATCAATACCATTGTTACCTTTAGTCTTGA